CTTGTTCGTTATTGACCCGTTCTCAATAGCCAGGAAGTGGAAACAACCTAGATGTCCAAACGGATGGAACTTGAAACAATCATCCTAAATGAGGTAACCCAGACCCAGAAAAACAAATGTTGTATGTTCTCTCTCATAAGTTACTGCTAGCTTTGAGTCTTTAGATGGGTGTGTTTCAACTGGAAAAACCTTAGAGATCAGGAATCCAACAATAGTTCTTAAAATAAAGATTTGGTGAGTTTGCCCTACTCCTACTCTGGCCGAAAAAAAAATGAGTGGATTATAGAGGCACCAGGCAGTAGATTTTTATGGCCAATAGGAGGAGACACTATACCACTTCGAATTTATATATTAAAAAAATAAGGACTGGAGAGATGGTTTAGCCATTAAAGGCTCAGATTTACAAGCTAAACATCAAGAGTTCCATTCCCAGCACCCATGGCTGCCTCTCCAGCTATCTTTATAGCTGGGTGTGGTGGCTTGCCTTCAATCCTAGCGCTTGGGAGGCAGAGGCAGGCAAATCTCTGTATAATCAAGGCCAGCCTGGTCTACATTGTGAGTTCCAGACCAGCTGGAACTACAAAGAAACCCTGTTTCAAAGTAAAACAAAACAAAACAAACCCCACCAGCAACAAAACTAAATTAATGAATTTAATTTAATTTAATTTAAAACCCAAACTCAGACATATCTGGAACACTGAAGTCCCAAAACAATAGATCACAAATCTTCACTTCCCCCAAAGAAGTCTAGAACAGAGGTTTGGAGTCAACTTCCTGTGAAGTTACCCATTCATTTAAATAAACTTTAGTTACTACAAATTTAGTTGACTGTGGTACAATATGTGCAGGAAAATGATAAAATAGCCACCCCCAGAAAGACTTGCTCAAGAGACTGACCTGGGGTTCTAAGAACTCCAAGGGTAAACAGTGGTAAGGGTGGTTGGTTCTGCAAAGTTTATGGCTTATGGGAGTTCTTGTCCTCCTGGGAACCTAGGATCCTGGCTGCTGCTAGGCAGGGGTAACTGACTACACAACAGCCCAATAAAACCGTTGACTGCTTGGTCTCTACTGGGTTTCCTGGTAGACAAAACTTCCCAAATGTGGTGTCAGCACTCATAACATGGGCATTGAGTGCATCCTGGGTCTTTGCTCATGGATGGCTGTGCTAGGGTTCCTCCAGACTTTAGCCTGTATATTCTTCCTTTTCTCTATCTTTGTATTCTTACCTTAATTTCCAGAGACACTGGGAGGGGTTTTAAGGACTTCCCCCACAACACATAAGGCTTTCCCTCTCTAAGATCCTGACTTAGCAGTTGACTTTTCTCTCTCCTAGAGACCAGATGGGTGAACTTTTCCTCCTTTGGTTTACATTAAAATTAACAATCCTAACTACCTGTCACTTCAACAGAAATCCTTAATTAAGGATAATTTTCCCAACAGATTTGACTTTAAAATAGATCAAGCTATTCTGAAGTCTCCGTTTGTCATCTTAGTTGATTTTCAAGGTTGTGCTCTGCAGTTCCTGTTCTTGTCATGACAAAACATTGTCCCTCATGGGCTTCTGGTGCAATGTCAGAGAAAGAGAACTCCCAAGGTGAAGCTTTGGTGATACAACACAAGGCTCTGCGCCCCCTGATTCTGCCACCAGTGCATCTTCTAACAAGGCACAGCTGTCTCCTCATTGTTGCTATTTGAGTCCCCCTGGTCAATTATCCTTAGTCATGGAGGGCATGTGGTAAAGCAAGCTCCTAGCTAGACCAAAAGTATCTTGAAAAGCCTAAAACCAGTTGCCATAACTGTGAAAAAGACTAGTGTGAAGGTTGGCCGAGGAAGAACAAGGAAGTGGATATTGCACATTGCTTCAAATTAACCCTGCCAGCCACACAGAGCAGGTGCCATGTTACAGCACCAGCTGCCTCAAAAGTCAACGGTCACATCTTTCTAGAATTGATGAAAACTGCCTGGAATGTGCCTCTTAGGCTATGGTGTCTCTTAATGCATGGCAAGGATATTTAAAGCCTCTCTGCCTATAAGAAATCTAGATTCTAGAACACAGTTCCCCCACTCTCCCCATCCCCAAAGATAACAATGAACAAGCTCCTTTGACCTCAAGTCTCTGAGGAATCTGCCTCTTTCAGGTTTCATTTACCATTTCTTAAAGGAAATATTATAGTTAGTTTATAGTTATATCATGTTTTGTAAAGGCCAAGTATGCAACATAGTTGGGTAGAGAGATGGTAGACACACACACAGTCATTATACTACTCTGGTCTCTAGTTTCTTTTTTTTTTTTTTTTCAACTTTATATTCCCATTGTACCTGACATAGTTTGGTGTATGTGGGGGTGGATCCTGATGGTCTAACTTAAAAAATAAATCTCTTCTTAGATTTTGAGTAAAATAAATCCCAGTAAGAGTCCTGGAGTTGACTAAAGATGTGATTTTAGTATGAACTTATCCAATCTAGGAAGAGATGACAGATGCCTTTAACATCTGAGATGTCTGTGTAGCTCACCTCTAAGTCCTAGTATCAGCCACCTAAGGAACTGGCACTCAAAACCTCAACTTGCTCCCCTGTAGTGCTCCTTCTGTTTTACTAAAGCCATCTCAGATCCAAGAATCATAATACAAATAAACAAGAAACACTTGATACATAATCTCCACCCACCCCCATTCTGGAGTTTTACCCTGAACACGTGCACCTGTAGCCATTTGTAGGTTTTGGTGTCTGGAGCTGCTTGTACAGTTATCATACGCCTCACTTTTCCCTTGAAGTCTAATTTATCAAATATATTTTGGTCAATTTGCTTCAGACCAAGGGAGAAATAGCACGCGGTGATGGGATTCACCTTGATGACAGGGCAGTTAAAACAAGGCATATGGGAAATGTTAAGCTAGTGATTGTCTATAGAAAACCAGTTTCTCCACAGATGATAGATGATGATGACTGATAGATGATAGATAGACAGATGATAGATAGATAGATAGATGATAGATAGATGATAGATAGAAGATAGATGATAGATGATAGATAGATGATAGATGAGAGATGAGAGATGATAGATGATGATGATTGATAGAAGATAGATAGATGATAGAGAGATGATAGAGATGGATGGTGGAGATATAGATACCATTAAATGTCATTTTAAATTTGTTTCTTGTTACTTACCAAAAAAAATTTAAAATTCTCTAGAAAAGCTATTTTTCTCCTTCTTGATCTGATTATCATAACTCAATCCATAGAGGAGGAACTGGGTAGGAATATATTAACATTTCAATTCAGCTCAAAATAACTTAATGCATTATTTTCTACTTTCCTTTGTGTGTCTTCATTGCCACCTCCTATATTCAACCCCTTTGTAAATAAAAGAGTTTAATCTTATACTGTAAATCATATCCTATTGTAACTGGAATTACTCATAACTAATTAATCTTCTGAAGAGATACATAGTAAGCAAATTCTCAATTTGCTACATGTTGGGACCAATACTGAAAGGCCCTAGCAGTGTCATTAACCCTGCCAAGTGGCACTACTTTAAGACATGAAACACCAGAGAGCATTCGTTCCACTTACACACCAACAACTGACTTACAGAGAAATGCCTAACAAATTAACGGCTGAACATGTCACCAAAGAAAGCATGCATGCAAGAACAATTTCTTTTTTTTGGTCTTTTTGAGACAGGGTCTCCCTATAGCCCCAACTGGCCTGGAACTTGCTATGTAGACCAGGCTGGCCTTGAACTCACAGAGATCCACCTCCCTCTGCCTCCCAAGTGCGGGGACTAAAGGCGTGTGCCACCATGCCCAGCTGCAAAAACAATTTTTAAATTACTTTGTGATCTGATTGTTCATAAATTCATATTTCTACTGTAATTGAATCATAGATGAAAAATATAATCAATCAACGAGTCTTTACAGGTGTGTTTTAAAGTTGATAAATCAAAGCCGGGTGTGGTGGTGCTTGCCTGTAGTCCTAGCACTCGGGAGGCAGAAACAGGTGGATCTCTGTGAGTTCAAGGCCAGCCTGGTCTACATTGTGAGTTCCAGGCCAGCTGGAACAGGAACAAGGAGACCCTGTCTCAAACACACACACACACACACACACACACACACACACACACACATACACACACACACACACACAAATTGATAAATCACTTTGCATCTAAGGACAATAAAGTCACATAAACTCAATGACCAATAGGTGAAAAATTCATTGAGGTTTGCTAATTAAATTTTTTAAATGTTCTTTTTCACAGCAATTTGTAGAAATGATTTTTTTTTGTCCTCTGAAACAGGTTGATGGAGTCCTAAGAAATCTCCCTATCTAAGATGTGGTCCTCTGATAACCTTGGTGCCTCAACAGATTTGTTCCCTGTTATGAAAAAAGCTAAATGAAAATGCCTAACCCCAGAAATAATCTGGGGATGAGGCTCACAGGTAGAGAGTTTGCCTAGCATGAAATCTAGGGTTCGATCTCCATCACTGGAAAAAAAAAAAAAAAGCCCTCCAGAAATAAAACCACCTTCTCACCCACAGTCTTCCCTGTACATTCTGAAAGGGGGAGAAAATTCACCCACATCTGATTCATTTTATAATTTCTTCTTTAAGAAAAAGTCTTTCTTCCTCAAAAGGAATTGGTGAGCTGTGTGTCACACAATCATCATCAATAGTCACAAAACAACATAGCAAGACCCACAACATTGCCCATACAGTTTTTTTTTATTAACAGAAAGGAAAATTAGAAAGGGGGAGAGAGAACCTAATATTCTCTAAAATTTGTGGAACTCACAATGTACAGTTCTTCTGGGCTTCAGGCACTGCCACAATGTGGAGATCAGTATAAGATAAACTGAAAATCCACGAGTCAGAGCTTGAGGAAGCCTAGGGAAGCCAACCTCACTGACTCAAAAGTAAAACTGTAAAGAAATTCCAGCACACAAACGACTCAAAAATCCAAATGATAAAAGTCCAGGAATAAATTGCATAAAACTTTTATTATTTATTAGCAGTGTATTCTTCTACACTTTAAAATAGAACAAAATATCTTCTGGAAGATAAACTATTCATAACAAAATACATGTCAAACAATTTTTATTACTGGAGTAGAATTGCTTTGCTATACACTCTCTATATTATACACAACCCCTTCTTGTGCCTTATGTATACACATGTGTATAAATAAGCTTAAGACATACACATGTAGATACACAGGACTTATATACACACCTAATTACGGAAAATTTACAGTAGTCAACTTTACAATCATATTAGTAGCTGCACACAAGTTAGTGTTCATAGAACAACTAGAATGACAGTATGGTTCTCTTTTCCTTACATCTCAAGTATCTTCTGGATTATTTTCAATGAAAATTGGACAAATAGTATCATCTTCCTATACAGACAACCAACTTCTTTATAATAACTCATAATAAAATATTATACTTTTCAGCTTCAGAAAAGATACACAATTCAATTTTTTATTTTCATTTTTGATTCCTAAAATATACAATTCCTTTTTCCATCAGTCTTGTGCAATTATTTGGTACTGTGGTTATGGGAGTTATGTTAACAAACCTGAGTCAAACATTCAAATGCCTTCAGAGAAATGTAAAACATGAATAAGGTGTCTTGCTGAAGCATATATAATCGTCTGAAGGTACCCCCTCCTAATAAATATGTTATAAATATCTCAGTGGTTAGAATAAAGCACTGGGTATGAATCTACTTAACCAGCCCTTGCAGTGTCTATTCTTAAGCAGCCTGGCAAAGAATCAGGAACTGAGACTCTCCAGTACAAAAATGAAGGACACAGGCCTTTGAACACCTCAGTACAGGGTATACTTAGATGAAAGGGCCATGTGTATCCACAGGGGACCCTTCATTTTCTCTTCAGGTTCTAGATACACCAATGTGTACATCAGGGGGTTGTACTGTGTTTTTAAAACAATCTCCAATGTACAGATCAACTTAGCAGCATCTTTTCCAGCTTTTCTTTCATTGATTTAGAATGAGTGTCAGACCACATGTGCTTACAGGGCAACAATCACCTCATACCAAAAGCAGAATGCTCTGAGTTAATAACTCTTGAAGTGCTTTTTGGTCATTGAGAGCATTATTGTACATTTACTGAGAGAGCTCTTACCAAGCATAGACATCAATTTTGAAATACGTATCCTTTCTCTGCATATTTACAAGAAGAGATTATAAGCAAAATAAATGGTTTAAGGCATTAAAACAAAAGCGCTCTTGTGAGAGGAGGAAAGAAATAAAAGCATTTGGAATGTTCCATCATTTCATATAGAAAAAAAGGAAAAATACCCAGTGAATTCTGATCTTAAAGAGATGCTAAGCTCGTTTTATTAAGCTGCCTACTTTTGAAGGCTCAGGAACAAAACAGAGTGGAAAGGTTTTGTCCTAAATAAGCCCTATGAAACAATTCTTTCGGTAGAGACAAATTTGGATGAACTCAAATTCAGATGGACTTCACCAGATGATCCCTGATATATTGTATCCACAATGGGAGCATAAAAATCATTGCCTAAAACTGGTCTCTTTTGCTTTCAATTAATAAGGAGGCATTATTTACTTATTGTAGACAAAACCATACCAAAACTAAACAGATTTAAAATACAAATTTTTGGTAACAAACGGCAGAAAAATCTAAATCAAAATATAGTCTAGCTTTTACATAATTTTATATATTTATAAATTTATCAAAATAGTTTTATAAACCTCACAATACATAGATAATTTAACACTGTACATGTAAATGCAATAACAAATGCATTACTGAAATACATTAAAAATAACCTTTTAAAATACCAAATTCAACACTAAAACTGTCTTTAAAAGTACTGAAATCTCCATAAACGTAACTGCAGTGCATTTATAGTACTCATTAACCAGTGCTCTGGGTTCAAGTCTCTTAATGATGTTATGTTAGCGCTCTCTCTAATTTAAGGTAAGAAGGTAGAGTCGTCCTCCCAGCAAGCCGGAGCTTTCTTCCACATTGCTCGTCCAGATGTCTAAGAATGGAACGGCTTTCACCAGAGTGGCAAGGCCTTAGTAATGAACATATTCAGACTGAAGGGACTGCGTGGGAGAGACAGAAGCTGAGGTTAAATTCCATCACATGTAAGACTGATAACAAGTCATACAGCCTTCTCCTTCAACACACGGCAGCTTGGGTCTATTATATAAACAATACTTTAAGAAAAACTAGAAAGCAAAAGATAGGAGAAATAATGAGATAATTCAGTTATATAGAGTGATTGTCAGAAAACTCTATATTTCAAAAGATTTAATCACTTATTAATAGTGGTTACAATTAAGGATTAACTGAAAATGAAGAGGTGGCCTAAATTTGATTCCTGAGCTTTTGTGCAATAATATTAAATCTTATTCAAAAATATTCAATGACATTTAAAACTAATTGAGAACTGTTAGCATAAACTTTGAGAATTTGTTTTCCTTACTACATATAAATAGCATGGTAATAATGATTTTCGTGCATAGTTAGCTGCCACTTAAATATAGTTCTTAAGATGCTTGAGTTTAACAGACATCTTATCAATCCTTTCCATTAATGGAACACAAAGTACTTTGGAATCTGATCTGAGGACCTAAAGACTTCATGGAAACAGAAGGGGTCTTGGAGTCACAACTTAACAGTGGACAAGCTCGAGTAAACAATTCAAATCCTCCCATATCTCATTAGATGCCACCATATAAAAGGAGCATGGGAGACATGCATCAAAATGCCAGGACAGCAGACAGAAACCTGGAAAAAAGAAAAAGTTTACCAAAGTGATTTTTGAGCAGCGTCTAATGTTTCATAGAAAAAACACAAATCATTTCTAAATATTAACAATCCTTTGCACAACTCTAATCAAATCCCTTAAAGCGACATCAATTACTTGCTTCTCTATCAGGTGCTTTCCTTTCTTACTCAATAATTTTTCAAACTGGCTGCAGCATTTTATTAACAGGTCTTATTTTATTAACAAATCTTATCAATTTCAAGACTGGTCTGATTTGGTGATGATCTAGGCATCAGTTAAAAAAAAGAAATAAAAAAAAACCCCAGCAACATATTTTTTCACTTTCCAAAGAATTTATGAAAGTCAAACTACCTTTGTTTAGCTTCAAAGTCTAGGTGAATTTTATACCCTAACAACAGCTATTTACCAAGTACATTTGAACCCAAGGAACCAGAGTTTATGATCCCTCATCTCTAAAGGCAAAAGATCGCATTGTCATAACACATGAAGTAAAGACCAAGGTGTAGACATTAGCTAGCAATATTATCTACAGTATAAAATTAACATTGTGCACCAGCAAAGGATCGGGAGATGGGCAGTAAGAAAAAGAGGGACAGTTCTCTGGGCTACGAATTTCAAAGAGGTTTGATGGCAAGAGCTGTTAGGAAGAATGGAAGGAAGTTTTGAAAATTCACTTTCTTGATATTAGATGTGGGGTTTAGCAAAATAGCACTGAGATGAATAAGGATTATACTATACTATAAATATGTTGATCCCACAGAAAGAATAAAAAGATAAGACCCCGATAAAGTCCAGTGGAGCTAGTGTTGTACCATCAACCCATACGCTTTCAGCCTGTGGGATACCGGTGGCCGTATTAGCAGTATGAGCTAATCTTTCCTTTGCCCCCCGATTTTTCTGCCGTCTGACAAATAACCAGAGGTGCATCCTGTTAAATCTCTCTCCTATTGCAAGAATACCAAACATGCATGTTCTAGATTCCATGCTTTCTCCAGAACATCCAACTTGTATTTTTGTTCCAATTTGGAAAGTTGCAAATTCTACCACTAAGAGACATTAGAATACTCCTTAAATGGCTTATGAGGTTGTGTTTTCAAGCACCCCTTGGAGCCTCAGGGCTTCCTCAATTCCCAATAAATAAAGGATGCAGGTTTTGGCAGACAGTGGTCAAGGGGCTTTTATCGAAACTTTCCTCAAGGATACTTATATATAGGCATCAATGTGTGAGGTAAACCTGTGTGTGTATTTATACCTTTCATTTCATAACTCACTGTACCCACTGATCTAGAACATGGAAATAATTTCAGGTTTCTGTTAGTAATATGAAATCATTGATCTCCTTGTCAAAGACATTGCTTTTACATAGCAGAGCTTACAGACCCTGGCCAGAGTTCAATCCAGCTTCAAATACAGTTCACCACAATCCCTACTGCTTTCCTTTCCCCACACCCAGCTTGCTTTCTTAACATACTGGAATGGCTCTGTAGGTCTCTGCAAACAAATGAAGACACGATTTGGCTAAAGTAAGCCTTTTGATCCTCCAGTTTATTCACGGAACAAAAAATTATAGGTGTATTAGGTGGTGGGGGATAAAAATACAACACCAAGGTTCTTAAAATTTACTCCATAGCTTCTTATAGGATATAACGAAAGTTCAAAGAAATAAAAGATCAGTAAAAAGAGGTTTGGCAAATTATTGTGACTTCAGTATTTTGTAGGAAATTAAGATCCTTTTATTCTCGATCTAAAATAAAAATCTTAATGGAAAAAGACTAATGAAAGAAAATTGTCAAAGTCTATGAGATCAACTAACTTCAAAACGTAACTAACACTTTAAGGTCTAAATGGGAGAGGAACAATGTGAGATAATGCAGACACTTCGATTTCAAAGCTCTGTGGCCTACATGATGGGGTTCCTTCCTTCCTAAGGGAAGAGGTACTCAGACATATCTGCCAGCACTAGGCAGACCTTGAGGAAAAGCAGTAGTACTCAGCACTTGGAATCTCAGTACCAAAGATGGACACATAAGCCCCTTTAGATCCTGCTTTAATCTAATGGACATCATCATGACGAAGCATGACTTCATGCTTTCTGCAAAGACACAGGCAAGGTTACCAACTGAAAAAATGTTTTCCACCTGCCTATATATCACCAAATCCAAAACGCTCCAAAATCCAAAACTTCTTCAGTGCTGACCTGACACAAGTAAAAGCTCCTGCACCCGATGTCATAGGTCACAGTCAGCTTACAGGCACACTAAAAATACATAAAGGGCATATGATCTGTAAGTGATATCCATGTTTATACTCAGGCTCATCTCAGTAGATCTCATGTATATATAAATATTCCAAAATCCATTCCAAATAAGGGGTAGGTGCTCAACCCATACTAATATCCTAAAAAAGATAATAACCAATTACTAGCATTTTCATTTTTATAATAAAAGTGTACTTTGCATTTGAAAGTCAGTATCATTATTACCATCAGTTTTATTAAGCCAGATTCAAAGGAAAACTGTCTAGAGTTCTTAATAAGTTAGGTATATTACTTGCTAGGTCATCTATTCTCAGATAGATACTTCTTATTTTCTACATGGCAGGTACAGTTCAGACATCTTACATGTCCATTAGGATGAAATTGTCTTACACATTCAGCATCAAAAATTTTAATGTCAAAATATAAGCCTCCATCAAGAAGTCTTGTTCCCTGAAGGCAGTAAGATTTGACATAAAACAAAGTGTTAGGTAAGGAGATCAAGACAATTTGTTCTGTTCTGGAAATTTGCTGCTAATCTGTTTTGGCAGATGTATGTATTAACTTTAAATTTTTAGGTACTCTGGAGGTGTTTCTTTTTTAAACAGCCCAGTTACTTAATAATGGCAGAAAAAAATGTCTCATACTTGGGGCTGGAGAGATGGCTCAGCAGTTAAGACCCCACATGGCAGCTAACAATAGTTCCTAACTCCAGTTCCAGGGGATCTGATGCTCTTTTCTTGCCTCTGTGGGCACTGCACAACATGGATGTGCTTACACACATGTAGGCAATAGACTCACATAAAAATAAAATAAATCAAAATTTTTAATGCCTCATAATTGTAGACATAAATACGGTACAGACAGTTAAAAAATAAAGCTGTGAGCTGGCTATCAAAAGTAACAGATAACAGATTAGCATCTGAGCAGAAAACAAATGAAGTAAAGCCATATTTTCAAATAATTTGAATAAAAAGCACCCAGCGCTATCACTCTGATAGATCAGAGTCCTTCCTCAGATCTGCGTGGGCTTTTACCACATTGACTTTCTCTTTGGTATATTTCTCCATTTTCCCAAGTGTCTTAAAGAAGAAAAGGTTGTTTGCTGGTTCTCCCCAGTTTAAGTTCTAACTAAAGGCAAAATGCACGTAAAACAAAGTTTGCTTGAATGCGTAAAAAGAAAACTATGCGTCTGGGAATGTGGGATTTCATCCATAGCGCTGGTATTTAAAGTTTTAAAGAATAAAATTCAACACGGGGGGAACTTAATTCATCTATGACTCTCTTTTACTCCCTTTACATTCGCTTAGTGTCTCTATAATAGCTTCCAGCTCTTGTACCGATTAAGGATTGACATGCAAAATGAATACACTGATACGTTGTCTCTACAGACGCAGTTTCTTAATGCTTTAAAAGAACTTGCCTCCAGTGAAATATTGCAAACTTCTTGAATTACAGTAGATGAAACATAGCTGGGCAAGGTTTTATGGGTACCACGTTAACATACAAAGACTTAATGTTTGAGAGAAAATCAGCTGGGAAGGACATATCTATATACATTTTCTTGGTGTTCCCTATGCATCTCATGTGTTCTGGGATGTAACAAGTCAATTTTGGTTAATTAAAACACTATATAAAATATTCTTTTACCTTCCTACATGGCTTTTAATAGATTCTTTTTTCTGGGGGAATTTAATATAGGCTTTTCAACAATCACAAGGAGCTCAATTGTTAGATGACAGGTTGTTGACACCCAGCTTGACTCAGCCAACCATTACAGGAGTGTTTTCAGTTCATTTGAACACCAAAATTATATTGATGGAAACTCATTTTAAATTTATTTTCTCTTATTTTAGTAAAGCCATATTTTAAAAAATAGACAACTTCTAGATTACTATATATTAATGTCAACACTGAAAACTTGGCTTTTGTTTTGTTAGTGGGTCACATGCTGTAACAAAGGTATGTGGGCTCCTAGGTGCCTTCACTTAACATTCATGAGAACAAATATAGTATCCAACTTCTAGTTCAATAATACTTATTAGGCACCTTTATAC